ATCTTGCTGGATTTCTAATGGAAGAATGGTCTGGGCAGCCTGATGTACAGAGACGTGACATATTGGATGTTCATGTTCAATACCACATGCTTGTGCTTGGTAACATAGAAGACAGGGAGTACTGAAGGAAGATGGTGAGTGTCCGGGTTATATGCCTGCTGTGGAGACATGCTGCCGTATCCTAGTGGAAAGCTCCATGAGCATTCTGGATGAAGAAATTTAGAAGACTACAAAATACATTTATAATTTCAGAAGTAAAAGAGAAGTTAATTTAATCATAACTTGAGTGTAGTTTTAGAAATGGTTGGTCGTCATTATTTCAGTGTATCTTACCCATAGAGAAATAGAGAAATATGGCAGCAGATATCACATTACAGTGAATCTATCGTGAGAAGCAACTTTTACTGTTGATCATACAACTTTCACAGAATATTGACATATTGGAAGTGATAGACAGTAAATTAGCACATCTCCCTGCTTCAAATGCCCCAAGAAGAGAGCAGAAACCCTGGGGTGTGGACAAAATCCTGCCTACTGGGTTCACCAAGCTAGTTCATGAAGGATCAAGGGTTCCTCGGACAGATAATGGCAGCAGGAGACTTTGCTTCCCATGATGATTTGCACGGGTCATTTTAAAGGACAGAGAGAAATTGTTTTAATCCCAATCTCCTCCTAGTGTACTGGATTAAAATTAATGTTATTCCTCTGGATAAGCGACAATCTACAATCCCCAAAGTATTTGCACAAATTAAGACAACATCACCAAGTCCTTTTTGAGGTATGAGTGTTTTAATCTTCTAAAAAACTTTATTGACACAGCTATTCTTGATACATTAAGAGAAAGCAAGTCCTACTGAAACCAACTTTTATAAAGTTTTGACTAGATTTTATTTGGCTTATTTTTAAACATTTCTATGCCACTGTCCAGCCTTAACAGTGTCCCCCAAGGCAGTTTTGGGACCCCAAAGCAGATTTTGATCTCAAGGATAATGAAAAATCATGTCTTAAACTACCATGTGTATTAATCTGTGCTGGATACTAATTTTACACAGAGGTGTTTTTAAGTACTGTTGGATGATTTGAACAGAAAAATCTAGATGCTAAAATAACCTCACTGTAATTTTAGAGTACTCACAGTGTAGGAAGGTCAAGGCCATGGTAGATTTTTTTCAGAATAAACAAAACACTTTCCAACATGAAGTGTTTGGCTTGCTGGTAAACACAATTCACCAAAACTAATCTGACTACTGCCATATCATATATGCTTGACCATGATCTTGGCTTGCAGACTGCTTAATAATATTCATTATTTTAAATTAAAGTTGAAGAAGTGCAGACTCTAGCTCAAATTAAGATTGGTTGTGTTGCCGGAATCTGGTAATTACTTTAATTGATCACCAGATAGTTTCCTTGATCACCAATTACACCCAATTACTGATTATGTTTCAAGACGTGAAGAAATGTCCAAACTGATTATGTAATAATGTTTTCATATATAATCAATCCTAAATAGCTTTTCCCTCCACTGCCAATTGTACTTTATAAAAAGAAGGTTACAGGCCTACAGATACAAAAGGTGATCCATAAACAATAAAGTTCTAATTTCATTTAATTAGCAAGGGAAGTATTTAGGGGGCTTAATAGAGATTGCCCTGCTGAAATTACTTCAGCAGACCTGCTTCTCATTTTCATGGTACAAAATGCTTGTAATAGGGAGATTGCTATGTATTTAAAATGGACTGTAGCTAACATGTCTCTTACATGTGCATAGAATCTGACTGAAACAGACTAATGTTTCATACTGTTATCTTATGCAAATCAGCTGTTTTTACAAGACACACAAAACATTTTTATTTGTTAAAGTGTTGTGGAACCTTTCATTGCTAGATCATTTAAATGGTTTTGCACTAAATGAACTGATGTATAATACTTACTTCAGTAGAACTTAAGCATGTGTAAGCTTCTTTATACTGTGTTGAATGCCCATTCCCTTCAAAAGGAAAGGATTTTAGCATTTATTTCAAAACTGATCAGTTCCCACTAAGTTGGTTAACTGCTAACTGCCATTTGTTCTTTTATTTGCTTACCATGGTCTATGTGTAGCAACATAGAAAGTTGGCTGTCTATACTGGCCAGCTGTGTGTTAAGGACAACCTTTCATGCTTCTGCTTCTCTATAATTGGAGCTGGTAACTTAAGCATGATAAACCAATATATATTTATATCTCCTTACCAACATGGCCAGATATCAGTGAGTAAGTGCTGTGGGCATATGTAACCATCCCATATTTCAGCTTAATTACTCAACATCTTTAAGAAATTGGAATGTGGATTAATCTTGCATGCTTGTATGGCCTGATTAGATGAATGTTTGGCTCATTCCAAAGGATGTTAGGAACATATGAATCTGCGTTACACCAGATGAAAAAATCATCCATCTACCCAACTATCATCTATTCTAGCAGGCAGTGGCTCTCCAGGATTTCAGGCAGAGTCTTTCTCATCATTTACTTCTTGATCCCTTTGCCTTGAGATACCGGAGACTGAACTGGGGCTGTTCTGTTTGCAAAGTTTGTGCGGTGCCACCCAACTGTGTTCTAACCCTGGTTTAAGCATGCTTAAACGCACTTACCTTTGTTTCCTGGTAGTCATGACTTGGGCTTTCAGAGTGTTCTCAAATTCAACTTTTTGTGTTTAGGATGAGTTGTTATTGTTGATGCAGAGAGGAGACATAAGTTGACTTGCAGTGAAATTATTCACTGAAGTAAATGGCATTCATTTCTTAATTATATTTTTATAGGTAGTATTTATCTTAATTGCAGGCTTTTGAAGTTGAAACAAGTGTTGATAGACAGGAACCAAACAAGGTGTGTGGTTGAAGGTCAATAGGACCGTATGTGTCCAAATGACAAAGATCACTTGAATGTTACTGATTTTGTCAGCTCTGAAGTAAGTGATAAACTCAGCAGTTTATCATTAAGTAGCTTGACTAAGAAATGTACACACAGCTGGATAGAGCTTTTAAGTGAGCAGTGAGAAAACGGGAAAGTGTATAAGTTATATAATGTTTTAATGTCACTAATAGCCTCAATTCCAGAAATATTTGGAATTCTTAAGGTTCTTCTGTAAGTCACTGCAATGAAACATATACTGGAAAGTGGGATCATTGAACTTTTTATGTGGATAAACTTCTGCCCATAGATATTAATGTGATGTCAAAATGCCGTTTTTGTGTCAAGTGTGTGATTTTATTTTTAGAAGTATGATTGGTTAATTTTACTATAATTTCTGAAGCAAGATGTTTATGCTGTTTGAATCATGTGTGCTGATACATTAATATCAACTGGACACATACTGACTTGGGTTAGGGTATTTATCTCCTTTTATCTCCAGTCAGAATAAAGCCAGTATACCTTCAAAATGTTCTGAGCCTTAATTCTACTTCATGAATTATGTTATATTGAGGGAATGGGGGAAGGAGTAAGTTCTTTGTGTAAATTACAGCCTAATATTCTGCATGTGTACTTAACAGTAAGTCCTGCTGTATTCCTTAGAGGATTATTGCAAGTAAGCATGCATAGAACTGAAGCATTAGTTCAGTTAAGACAGCAAATACTTGCAACACAAGAAATTAAAGTAAATGCGTATTTCAGAGCCATTAATCATTATCTGGTTAGCCATACATGCCTTTAGCATAAATTAATGCTGACCAATTTTGAGAGAAGACAGCAACACTTCTAAAAGTTTCAAAACCACTTTCTACATTATTTTGAAACAAAATTACTCAGTGCAAGTGTTAATGAAGGTTTCAATCCTATGCACACATACTTGGAAACAAGTCCCATAGAACTCAGTGGGATTTATGTTTGAACAAACATGAATAGGTTCAGACTGCTAACCAAACAAGAACTTCAAGGAAAATTAACTTCCCCCCCCATAGGAAAACTGGTCCTTTCAATTGCTGACAGTTTGGTGATTTGTAAATGAAAAACTTCACTGGAATAATTTGCTCTGATTGTAATGACTGCATTCATCTGACTGACAAATTGGTTTGCACAGTCATACTTTATTCAGTCTCCAGTTGTGGAAAGAAAAAAAAATACTAGAACTATTACCAATCATTATGCTGTTTCTTAATTATATGTTTGTTCCAAAATTGCTATTGTAGAATTAAGTTTCTAGGTAGGGACTTTTGTAACAAGACTTCAGTTGTTCAGTGTTAAGATACTAATTTATGAATAGATATTTGAAAACCACATGTTGAATGCAGAACATATAGCTATCCTTTAAAAATGGTCTTTAAATTAGATTTGCCACCTTGTGTTTAGATCAATTCTTTTGGTTTCATTATTGGAAGTTAAGTTACTGAATTATGTGATTGATGTTTCAGGCATTCATGCATTGTATGTACATGTATGTAAAATTTATAACTTGTTTGCACAAAGCAAAGCTGGTCTAGCATAACAGCTAAGTGTTTGTGCCTTGTGTCTGGATGTCTGCATGAAATCTCACATCAGCCACGAACTCACTAGGTGGTCTTAGGCAAGCCACAGTTTTCTTGGTCCCCCCCTCTGTTTGTACTAAAAGGATAATAATGTCAGTATACCTTTAGAGAACTTTTGTAAGGATTACAGAAATAATGTATATGAAGCTCTTTTAACTTTTGAAATAAGATTATAAATTCTTACTATATTAATGGATTTGCTAAGAACTTTAAAAGTTAGAGGCCAATTAGCAAAAATCTTTGAAAACTGGAATTAACTTTTTATTAACATTCTTTATTCCACAGGCAAAGTTTTGCCAGGATTTATTTTACATCACAACTGCATACCTGTGCACCCATTTTGGGCATCTTTTACAATTGTCTGTTCTTTCTTTATATTTTCTAGCAGCTAAATTATGTTCCTTTTCTTCTCTTATACCTCAAAGTTATCATAGATTGCCAAATATTAAAAATTACATATGTATGTAAAATGTGTAAATGCATTTTTCTCAACACAGGCTTTTGGATTTATGACTCGTATTGCTCTTCAGGCTGAAAAGATGAATCATCACCCTGAGTGGTTTAATGTATACAATAAGGTAATGAGCTTAATGACTTAGATTTTGCTAGAGGTAGTAGGTTTTGACTGGTCAGCATCTTTGATAAATTAAAAAGTAAATGTGAGTTTTAGTTGTCAGTATTAATCCTTGGTACTGCTATCATACATTTGACATTTAGTAGTTTTCCAAAATTTGCTTCATCATCTGCAGCAAGCTTTGTTTTTAACAGTGAGCTGAGCTTACATGTTGTCCATGTATATTCCTTTTGCCCCGCTGTCACGTTGGATGAAAACAGGTTGTGCAATTGCTGGGACCCCCAATCCCAGCCCTATTTTGCAAGAGTTAAAAGTAGGATGAACCAACACAGTTTGAGGAACAATCCTTCTTTCAGACTTCCTGCTATCTCTCTCTCTCTCTTTTTGCGAAAACAAATTAAAGATCGCCTTGAAAGAAAAACAAATTATCTGATTTTCTTGTCTTCAAGTAAATTTGAATTAGTCAGTTAAGGGATATTTTTAAGGACAACTCCAGATTCTTAATATGACTAGAATCAAAATATACCTATGGGTTCTGAAAATAAGGACAGAAAACATTTAGGTAAGGGTATAGGTGTATAGGAAAGAAATCTTGTATAAGCTTGTAGAAAATGAAAGCCTTTAAGAAGGAGCTCAATTTTTTCATAAAGACATTTTGGATTGCTATTTTGTAAATATTAGCACTCCATCATGAAAACTACTTTCTTGCAGAGAAAGATGTATCATCCAACTGAAACCATACCTAGCGGGTAGCTTGTATGACCACATACGTGCAGCATAACTTCTGATAAAAGCAAACTGATTTTTAATGAAACTAGTATTCAGAAATGTGTTTCTAGAAGCCATAATATTCTGAGAATTGAACAAGATTATCTGGACTTTTATTTAAACATGCATGCATGCTAACCAGGACAATGTACCAAAGAAAATTCAATTGGGGAAGTGTAGATAATCCCTTGGAGGCAGCTGCATCACACAAGTAGAATTTCAGTCAGTCTGTTTTCTCCTGTAGAACTGACCTACAAGGTATTGCCGAGCTTGTCACTTTTGGGTTTCTGGCTTGAATTGCACAATTTAGCATTTGCAGTTGAGTTAGGACCTAAATTCCTTCTGAAACCAATATGCACAACTACTTTTTAAAAGCACGTTATTTAATTGTTGTATTTATTGATTCTATTGTGAGCTGTCCAGAGACACAGAGTTACTGGACGGGCTAGAAATATCCCAAATAAATGAATAATTGGGTACCTCTTTCTGGAAGAAACCCAAGAATCCCAACTCAGAATGTCATGTGCTCTTCACTGGTGTTCTCTTTGGTTATTCTCCAAGTTCTCTCAAGGCTGTTCACCTGACAGCTGTGCTATGCAATGCCTTTCATTTGAAAAAGTTATTCCAACTTACAATCAGCAGTCAGGAATTAAGAAACAAACAATTCCACAATAATCTGTAAATGTACACATCAAATGTGTGTGAAAAAGAATTTCAGACTGAATCCAGATCTTGTCTGTCTGCACAGGAACACATGGGCTAATAAATCATAACATTCTTTCTTCTCTCTTATCAACAGGTCCAGATAACTCTCATTTCCCATGACTGTGGTGGGTTGACAAAGCGAGATGTCAAGCTGGCACAGTTCATTGACAAAGCCGCAGCATCTGTCTAACAACTGGGTTTTGAAATCATCAGAAATCAGCATTTCCTTCAAAATATTTCCTTTTGCATTATAGGAGACATTTATTCAGCTTTCTCTTTTAAAGATGGCATTCCTCAAATTTTGCCATTGGTTTAGAGACTGAAGATAGATTCTGTAGATAGGCAGTGTACTGGTGGTACTGAGTAAAGAGGATGAAGACATTTAGAATCCCTTCCTCCTGTATATTACTAACACTGTAGGTATCTTTCCCTACTTTATCCATGTTTAATGGAGACCATTCTATCAGGAATTCCCAGAAGGAAGAATGCTGAAAGTACCAGTGACCTGGACTTCAGATCACTGCACTTCACCAATCAAGGCTCTCTTTCATTCTTTGTATCCTATAGTCTGTGGAAGTAGCACAACTGAACATGAGAATTAGCACCTGCATTTCTAACACAGCATTTAATGTTGATAGAATTATTTTTAATAGCATATTTTGCTTGATAACTAATTGGTGAAAATTGGCAGATCATTTTTTGGAATTAAAGACGCTTGTGCAGTTTTTGTGTATGTAGTCGTCTTTTCCTTCTTGCCCCCTTTCACACTGAGACTTCTGATTTCTGGCCACCTGCTGCAGCTCTTGAGAGTAATGGGACCCATTGGAGCAACATGCAGTCTGGCAAGCGATGCAGCTGAGGGGAAAATATATGGCATTTCCTTGCGTATAGACAAGCTCACCCCTTGTGCTTGGAGCTCTCTGGATGTTAACCATTAGCTACTATCTTGAATGGTGTGCACTGAAGTTTATAGTTTATAAACGCAAGTACAGTATACTCCTGTGAAGTCGCGGTTCAGCGTTCACAGCTTCAGTCTTTCACGGGATTTTTCTCAGAGCGAGTCCAAGCCGATCTCCTTGCGAGTAAGCCGGTGCCTCGCTGTGTGGCGGCTTACTTGCAAGGAGATTGTTTCCTCCAAATTTGAACTCGCTCAGAGAAAACGATCTCTGCCCGGCCTGTGCCTCCTGCCTGCACCGCCTTGGCAGCTGGTGCCCATCACTGGCACTAAATTTGCGGGTGCTTCTGGAACGTAACCTCCATGAATTCCGGGCGACTACTGTATCAGGATCTGGCCTGCTCTGCAGCACCATCTAGTGACCAGAACACCTACATCACTGTTTGCAGGATCAGTCCCAGGCCCTGCTGGAGTTCTCAGCCTCCTGAGAGTGCTAGCTGGGAACCCTGTAGGAAGAGCTATATAAGAATAAGTTATCACCAGAACTTACCTCAGCAGTATAGGTCTTTCTGTTTGCTCTCCTGTGTGACCCAGAGTCCACCAGAGGTATGTATCCTGCCTCACTGTCTAACCTTAGCAATGCAGGCCTTTCTGCTAGCTGTGTTTCAGTCCCTGCACCTTGCCTGATTTCTAAGCATCTGGCTCCTGCTGTACCTGATTTCTAAGCATCTGGCTCCTGCTGCATGTCTTGCCTTGCCTTGCACATCATCACACCTTGCCTCACCCTGTCTTGCTGTCTTGCTACCTTGCCTTGCTGCTACATCTTTGCTGCTGAATCCTGCCCAGTTATCGTGCCACAAGCACTTCTCTTTTTCTTCTGGTACTCGGCCCTTGTCTTGTTCATGATCATGTCCTTGTCCTGATACATACTGGTTCCTGACCTTGGCCTGTGATTGGACTTTGCTGTTGGATTTCACTGCTGGACTTTGGACTCTATTCTGCTTCAAGTTCTGTTACCCTGGTTCCTGTCCCTTTGTTTTGGCTCTTGCTGCCCACATCCAGGACTCTGACAATAAGAAATTGGGGCACAATATAACTAAGTGTAAGCTTGTTTAAGTCACTGATCTCGTATGTCTTTTGACACTTGGTCCAAGGGGACTCTGCTATCCCAATGCCACAGAGTGAGATCTGGCTATAACTAGAGTAACAAGGGAATCTTGGGTCAGGGAATCCTGTTTGGGTTATTGCTGCCACCAGCTTGAGTGTATGTGTGTGCACCACTCTTTAAACCAGGGCAGGAGAGCAGTGGCAGGATAGTCAGGAATAATTTTCACCCCTTGACCTTTCATAGACCTTGGTTGGAAAGTAGGGGTTAAGAAGCCACTGCTTTATTGCCCAGATCGGTAACCAACTGCTGTGTACCACTTAGTAGTGCTAAAAGGGTTCCGTTAGCCTGACACCAAGCTGAATGTTACCCTTTTAGCACTGTGTAGCTGGTATGAAGCATTATTATGCTTCTACAAAAAACGCATTTCTAAAGTATGCATCCTCATGAAGTAATGAAATAGCAGAAGCAGATAAGCAAGGTTAAGAAAGCAGAGCCAAATCATTGCCTAAAATATTGTAGGCAAAAATCTGCAAAAGCCAGAAGATTAAAACATACTTGTTTGTTGAGAAGCAGTTCTTTATAGGCACATACATGTATTAGCAAAATAAAACAGACCTGTAACATTATTCAAACTATATATATAAGAAAACTCTGCTCTATGGAGTTTCCTTTTAGGTTAAAAAAACAAACAAACCAAATGCAGCTGGATAATCTGCAGTTTGGAATAGTAGACTTGCACAGGGAAGGGGGCTTCTTAACACATTCAGCTCCAGTGAATGCACATTTCTTTCTTCTACAGGCATATATATGTGGAAGCAATTCAGGACAATTTTTTGTGGAAAAACTCTGATAAGGAAAGTATAGTTATGCGAACATCTGGCAATCTGTCTCTCCAAAAAAAATTTGAGATCAAGTTTCTTCTGACTTGTTTTCCTAGGAGTTTATGATTTTATAAATAGAAATCTATATAGCATTTATTTGCATTTTAAGAACTACATATTTTTAGTGTAAGCATGCTTTCATTGACAAAAGTGAATTTGTGCATATTTTGGCAATGTACACTTTCTCTTCTGAGTCTTTTTCAAATGTGAGCATGTTAGATACTTTTTATTTTGATTTGCAAGTCACAAGCTCAGAAATGGTTGGATTTCTAACTGCAAATTGCATTCAGGTCTGGCAGTAGCAAATGGGCTAAATTCAAATCAACTGAGTGAATTTCTCACACCTTTAAGAAAGAGTTAATAAGTCTCTTTCTCACCCCATGTGGGGAAAAAAAAAATACTTGGAGGAAAATGTTTATACAACCAAGTGTCATGTACCTACTCCCTAAGTACACATGTCCTAACTTAGGTGAACAACATGCAGTGCTTTCTACTTGTGTTCAGACATTCAGATCCATGTGGAGAGCTTACACTTCGGATTACCTCACTCTGATGTGAAAGAGTCAGTACAGTCCAACTTTGACAGTCAAGCAAAAAGATATTTCCTGGAATTCTCTCTTTAGAGGAAAGAAATGTTAAGAACTGGGGGAGTTGTCTGGGTTGTGGCCCTAGAAGGGCCACAGTTTTTCCTGACCAGTTGCTTGGTCCTCTGCATGCAATTTGGACATTTTGACAGGGAAAACACATCATTACTTGGTAGATCAGGGATAGGTAAGGGAATTCCCTTGGCACCAAATGCACTTTCCTCTGTTCCTGCCACGTCTAAAAACAAATGAATTAAAATTCTTACTAGCAACTGAAGTGGTTTTAAAAGAAAGTAAGCATCTCCAGCCACTGCCACCTTTATTTCCCATTACTGCCTCTGGGGCACGCACAGGACTCAGGAAAAAAACACAGCAAGCAGCTGCAGTGCGCCCAGGTACTGAGAAAAAGAAGGAAGAAATAGCTTCCATCTGGTAAGCTGGGATGAAGGGAGACTAAGGAAAGCATCAGGGAGTGGAGGGCTAGAGAGAGCGGTGGAGGAGTTAGGAAAGGTCATGGGAGGGGGGTCAAGGAAGCCATGGAGAGGAGAGCAGCAGAGTTCCTGCAGGAGCCAGCTGGGAGCAGCCTCATTGGTTGAGGAGGACTGTGCTTGCATGTCTGAATGGAAAGAGGCTGTGTGTATGGGTGGGACGGGGGACGGTTTGGGGAGATATTGGAGGGGTCCTGAAAAGGGGAGCATGGTTTTCCATGTGCTTGCCATGAGAAGGACATTACTGTATCCATGTATGCATGCATGAATCTAACATTTGCCCTAAAGTTGTCTTCTGGGTAGCATAGAAAGAGGAGTGAAGGCTGAAGCGCAACTTTATCTCCTTCCCTTTCCACATTCACATAAGGCTCCACTGCTAAGAGCACAATTGTGCTTCTGGTTGCTAACACTGACTGTGAAGGATAGATTGGATAGATTTTTCTTTGTTCGTTACTTCTAGAAAATTTAATTATCAAATACAATTGCCCTTAAAAATGTTTTTCGGCATCTGCTATACACCATGTAAGCAAAATTGAATAAATATCTAGGAAGCCATATTTCATAGATGCCACATTGTGGTAGGACCATGCTCTTCCTAATAAAATAAGTTTGATGAAACAGTGGGTACAAGTAGCCCATGTTCTTTTACTTACATTGCATTTCAAGAGCTGTTGATCCCAATGAAATAGTTTTATTTTACATTCTGTTCATTATTTTAAAAACCATTTCCTGCCAGAATAAAAACAAGAATATATCCTTTTTTAAATACATGCTGCTGTTCAGTAAATTCTAATGACAAAAAATAATAGAGGGAAATTCTAAATTGCCATATATGAAGAATGTCATCAGTAGCATCTTTATGAGAAAAATTGATATAAATGGAAATGTCATTATATTACCACTTATGGTCCCTGTGTAATTTTTAAGGCAGTTTGATAATAACTTAATCCTCATGGTAACATTTCAAAATAAATTATTAAGTGTGTTGATAGGTGCTATAGGAAATATATGTAGCCTATTAATTAAAACTAACACTATTTTATGTTAGCATATGCAGATTGACACCACAATTATATATAGTGGCACTTTGAAAACTGCAAGTTAGAGGGCAGCATAGATCATGGGGTGGAATTGGAAGCAGTAAGTACAGAGGAAAATGAAATACAGAAAGTCCAGACAGTGACAATTATGTTAAAAGGTTAATGGTGATCATTTGCAAAACCATGTTGGTGATAATGCCATCATCCTGACATTGATTAATTAATAAATAGTATATTACTGAAACCTATTATCCTGATTTAGGCCACAGCTGATAAATATTGGACTTCTTGATAAATTTTGATTCAGTGATTTCTTGCATCTCATGGTTCATGAAAGCAAATGCAATCATAAGGTGAATTGCCAAATGCACAGACCTTGCCATTATTTCAGAGCTTATAAAATGGAGCCTGATGGGGAGGCCCCATTTCTTCTCAAAAACATGAGGTCAGCCCTCCATTACAAGTGTTCACGAAGTACTTGTTAGCCACTTCAGAACTGCATCACTTCCAGCCAAAGTGAAATATGCTTTGTCTCTGTTCTGCCACCTCCCATTTATAACTTGTTAAATATTAGACATACCCTGCACATAAATGTTTTTGCAGAACAAATCTGGTCAGGAATGTATAGAGTATAAACCATAAGCTTCAATTAATGCTTAGGTAGAGAATCTCAAAGTTAATTTTCTCCAGGATGCCCTCCCTTATTTTTTAACAAAATTATAATCTAGG